TGCCCCTGCCGCACTGCTCCAGGTGGGCAGGCAGGCAGGAAGGAAGCTTCAGCTGGGCGGCTCCTGCCCAAAGAGTGGAGATCTGGCTCTAGCTCCTGGCTGCCTTCCACCCACTATGCTGACCCACAGGTGGCTGCTTATCACACCAAGCAGGCAGAGGGAGTGGAAGGCAGGCAGGAACTAGAGTCAGAGCCACCCAGTTGAAGCATCTCACCTGCCTAGAGAAGCACCAGGGCAGCAGAATAGCCCTGCCAGCCCAGGCCCCAGCCAGCGCACAGCTTCCAGTGGGGCTGTAGGTGGCTGGGTGCTGCTGTGCTCCCCTCACCTCCTGGGGACAATGCAAGCTCGGCTGGCTGCAGCTACGCTGGGAACAGCTTTGCCAGAAGCTGCACGCTGGCCGGGGCTGGGAGCACAGCACTGGCTACCCTGGGTATGGCTCGGCCCCACGTGGAGCACTGCAGGGACAGCTGCTGACCAGGCAAGCTCTACTGCACGCATCCCCCACCCATCTCACCTCCAGCTGGCTCCCAGGCAGGCCGCTCTCCTACGCGCCCACCCAACACCCTCCCCCCCGCCATAGGGCAGGGCATGCAGCTCATCAAAAGACCCTATGTGGCCCTCGGGCCCAAATAATTGCTCTGCTCTAGAGGCAGATCCTGCATAGTCTGCACACTTCACTAAGTTAAAAAAAAACCGCCTGGTTAAACCCGTTTAATTCTCCAACTATGGTAGCTTTACTCTCTTCAGCCTCTCAGCTCAAGGTCATGAGCATGCTCGAGGGAAGTGACCTGGCTGAAATATAGCTATGCTGCACCTTGCTGATTCCCAAATGTCAGAACTATCCCATACAAGCCATTACAGCCGGGCACCAGGTTGAGCAGTCCTAAAATGGCTCTAATTTATATATGCCATTAGGCAAAGCCTCACAAAGAAACAGTAGAGAGCTGCATTATCTGAAACAGTCTCCTGAAGCTCCCACATGCATTGAAGGAGCACACTCAGCAGCACTAGTCTTTTTGCAGAAAAACTATCAACTTTATGTACTGTTACAGCCCTGATTCACCATAGTAGCCCATCTTTAATGTATTTATCCTCACAAGAGCCCATACAATAGAGAAACATTATCCTCATTTTACAGTTGTGATTTGCAAAGGCAGAAAGCTAAATGATTTGTCCAAATTTACAAAGAAAATTTGGCAAGATGTAGCCACAAGTCTTTGTTTTCAGCATCTCCCAAGTCCTACCCTTGCTCCCAGTACCTTAACCATTAATCCACCTTTCTCTGCTGCTAACTGTTGCACAGAAGGATCAGAGCCACAGTCCACTCCAGTACCGTTGCGCTACAAGTCTCTAAGGAAAAGGGGCAGAAAAGGTCTTCATTTCTAGTATACAGGTATTAACTTGAGCCACACTGGTGTAACACTTGCATGAAAATGAAGTATTAGCCTCATTTCACACAAAGCACACACTTGGTATTTTATAGCAGATAATTTTAGAGCAAAGATGAAATTAAGCTTTAGCAGTTACCAAATGTAGCGGTCCTGGTGGTGGACTGGGTATTAGAAATAATTTTGCTGCAAACTCCTTTATATGATCTTCAGCATCTAAATCCTTGAAAGGTCTCAGGTGTACCAGCAAGCTGAAATTCAATTAAATTATAGAAAATTATTTTTAAAGTAACATGTAAAATGGAAAACACATTTTCTATTGATAGGCTAGAACTAAAAACTTAAGGCATAGGGGGTGCTGAAAGCATTATTCCAACAAATTTACTTTTTATTCATGAGATATTTTATTAGCTCTAGCTGATTTTAATGGTGCTACTATGCTTTTAAGGCTGCACTTTGATCTCTCTCACACACACACATACACATATTACAGGACAAATCTACTTATGCAAATCTGTCAAACACTGCTATTTTGGGGGCAAACATTACCCACATCAAATGACACAGGGCTAAAGCTCAATGTATACTGTCAGGAGACTTGTATGTCCACACTATTACTTATGCAACAAAAAAAGCCCCAAAACCAATTACTGCAACATTCCAATTACAAATTAAATAAACCACCAGGGAACAACGAGCATTAAAAATTTTCAGAACTATCATTATCAAGCCAACATTGCACACTTGTACATAAACTTAGAATAAATACACATTTTCATATATGTATATTGCTCATATGAATACATGTATATTCTAGCAAAATGAATAACTACAAAATTATAACTTTGAATTGTCCATCCTTTGTGCACACAGCATTCCACTGTTACACAGTTGTTTTTTATGAATATATTTAGGCTTTTTGAAAATCAAAATGCTGGAATTGGTTGGTAAGACCAAGTCCAGAAACCTATTTTGAATGCTGCATGTTCATTACACTTGTTCTTTTATGAGATGTGTGTTCTAAGCTCAAAATGGGAGGAACCTGATTTTTCCCCCAATGTTTGCAAAGTGCTAAGCAGGTCAAAAGCTCTACAAAACATAACAGTGAACTGGGGAACATCAATTATGCCCCACGTCAGGACTGCAGTTTTCATCTCCTTTTAGAGGCTGATCAAAACATACAGTTAAGATGCTTGTTGTGTGTAAAAACCACTTAGTGCTCATGATAGAGGGGTTCTGCTTTTAATGCTGGAAGCTCTGAAGTCAAACCTCAAACAACATATAGAATAATGACATAACGTCTGTCTAAAATTTCTCAGAAATTTCATAAACATCGGGGATCATGGGACTTTGCCTTTGTGCTCCACCTAACTTTCCGAAAGTAACACAACTGCAAGGTCCTCCATGTTTGCACGCTCGACTTAACCCACCATAACAAAGCCTCGACTTCTGAAGGGCTGCAGTTCAGCACTTCTGAAATTCAAGTCTCTTCCAAGTTTCTCAAGCCTGCCACCCAAAAACCATGGTACATTTAAAAAAATAAAATCACTAGTTGTTGCTGAAAATGTAGGTCAATGTTGTCTCTTGAAAAGGAATCTGCATAGTCTATCCATCCAACAGTATCAAATTAATTCCCAGCCTGTCTCCTCCTTTCAGAGGACTTTTCCTTGTTCAGTCCATAGCGAGCCTACTTTTTCTGCTCATCTGGGCAGCTGAGGATCACACTTCACACAGGCCCCAACAATAGGGGCCGTACACAGCACAGCCCCTAACAGTGCGAGCTGTAGGTGCCCCCGTTCCCCGCTGCACCACATGCATGGACAGCACCCCCCAGCTCACTAGCCATGGGCTCCCCTGCTGCACTACACTGCAGGCCACATTGTGCCACACCACCCCCAGGGCAGGAGCAAGAAGCAGCTGGAGGGGAAGCCAAAACTTGCCATCTGCTGCCACAACCAGCGACAGTGGGAACGGTGACTGGGTGAGAGCCCAGGGGCTACAGATCCTTGCAGGCCACATGGGGACCTTGGGCCATCAGCTGGACAGCCCTGCTTTAGACCAGTGATACTCAACCACATTTTTTTAAGGGTACTTGGACTTACAATGTTAATACTCTTAGGTGTGCATGATTCACAAGTTAAACCCTAGGGGCACCTACACACATGCTCCGACACGTTCCGATTTGAACACGTCAGAGCAGACTTGATGAACTGAGTCTGCTGGAGCTCTCTAATCAGAAGGCTCCAGATGCCGCAGCGTCTCATGTATTCAGTGTCCCCACGTTTCAAAACAGCAGCAGCAGCGCTTTAACTAAAGCTTGTCGAACGAGCTTTAGTTAAAGTGCCCCCACTGCCATTCTCAAATATAGGATGCTGAACACACAAGATGCTGCAGGCGGTTTAATTAGAGTGGTTCCCAAGAGCCACTCTAATTAAAACACCTTCCCCCCCCCCCCCCCCCCCCCAAGCATGTGTAAAAATGCCCAAAGATTTCAAATAAGAATCCATGGTGTCAAAACCATTCTGACCTGTTGTGATCTGTGAGTTCTTTGCAACAGAAGAACTGCTCTATTATTTTTCCATAGTCAAGGAACGAATAAAAGCTAACAGCTGGTTTTTTGCAAGGGGTGCCTTGGATCCTTGGCCCTAAAAAGGCCGAGAACCGCTGCTTTCAATTTAATTAAGTAGCAGCGGTGACTAATTCCAGCACAGGCACATCCCCGTGAGTACAAATGGGCAAGGGTGCACATTTTCCATGGGACAAATAGCAGCAGCACATATTTGTGCCACAGCTATTTGTCCCTGGTCACACCCCTGCACGCACACTCCTGGGTGGGGTAGGGGAGGCTGCTGGCCCCCCTTACCTGGGGGCCTCCTGAGGCAGAAGCAGCACTGCACCAGCCACTCAGAGCCTGGCTGGCAGCCATCCAAGATCTGGTTTCTGCTGCCATGTATGCCACGCCACTTTTTTAGCAGTGGTTTTTGTTTTTTGACACTGGGATCTCCTGGTGTCAAGAAAAACCCACCATGCTTCAAATTAGCAGCATGGTGCACATGCACTGGATGTGGTTTGCAGCACCTGAAAACAGCTTTGAGGCACTGCAAACTGCATGTGCACGCATGTGGGGACACCCCCAGAGAGGTTACTTTTGACCAAGGTATTTCCTCTCACCACAAGCAGAATATACTTCTTTTATGAAATTGTAACTCCCGTAAAACTCTGGGAACACAATCCTGAGATCAGGTCCCTGTTTCACATACAGCAGTATAGACAATGAATGCTGGCTAACTGACATCGTACCCTCCCATCAGGTGTAGAGACTTATCTGTTTTGGTTACTTCATTCATCCTAAACCAGAGGTGTAAAGACACAGCCCAGGCCTTGGGCCAGATGTCTGACACCAGCAGCAACTGCAGTGTGATGGGGTTAGATGTCAGCAGAGGGCTGTGTTTGGGTGGCTGCACGCATCTGGGGACATTCAGTGATGCAGAGCTGTGTTCAGATGGCAGTGTGAGTCTGGGGGCATGGAGTTTCCTTTGGGGGGAGGGGGGGAAAGAGGGGCAGAAGTGAAAATGAAAATAAACCATGGAAATAATTAAGAAAAGTAAAACAACAGTTAAGTCATCCGGGGGGGGGCGGAAATAGAAAAAAAAGTCAGCTGCAGCTACTCTAGGCTGTCAAGTTAAGCAATAAAACATTTAATTGGTGTAGCAGCTTCTGTCTTCAGATATGAAACACTTTGGGCTGGGATAAATTAATTTAATTTTACTAGTATTTGGGCAAAAGGTAAAAATACCCCAATTAATTCATGTAAAATATGCTCAGTAATTAATACTGAAAAGTTTTTCACAGTCCTCCAAACAGAGCACGGGTCTGCCAAAATTGTTTTGATTTCAGTTTCAAGCAGAAGATTATTCATTCTGAAAAATTTTCCAGTATTTATTGTGAAAAAACAAAAAGGTGTTAACATTGGCACTTACTCAGGAAATTTAGAGAAAGAGAGAGACCATTTATAGCACCTATTACAGGAACATACTACATAGACTTATCATTTCCAGCCAATATGTGGTTACCTATAAGGCTATGGCAACACACTGCTAATATAGCAAGGAAGCTGGTCAATTTGGGGGCATAAATAATATCCCCATGTGTCCAGCAAGTGTTAGGGAATCAATCAATCCATCTCTTCAAATCCCAATATTTAAACCAAGCAAATGAGATGTATAAAAAGCACATTGAACTAATATACTGTGCCCACTGATGTACTGTGAAAATAAAAAATGTCTTAAATCTACACTAGAGGACCCAGAGATGCTGAAGAGTACATGGTCTTTCCAATCTATTTCTATTAATCATTTGCAGCTTATTTTAGAATCAGAAGAGTGCAAAGGGACCTCAAGAGTCATCTGGTCCAAACCCTTGATTGTACGCAGGAATACTGGGCATCTTTACACTACTCTGGGGTGGACAAGAGGCGCTTTAAATTAGGAGTAGCTCCAAGAGTCACTCTAATTAAAGCTCCTGCCAGGTGACGTGCATTCAGCGTCCCGTGCGTCAAATGGTGGCAAGGGCACTTTGTCAAACACGCGTTAGTTAAGCTTTAGTTAGAGCACCCCTGCCGCCACTTTGGAGCATGGGGATGCTGAATGCACGACGTGGAGGGTCATCTGCTCCGACACATGCGAATTAGCACATCCAGCACATGTATAAGTGCCCACTATTCTTAAACTATCCTTATCAAATGATTATCCAGCCTCATCTTGGAAGCATCCAGTAAAGGAAACTAGGGCCTAAGTTCTTGTTTCTTGAAAAACCATAAATAGCTCCTTTGGGCTGGCTCATGGATGTGAACCATTTATACACTTGTATCCTTCTGCAACATGGGTTTAAAGATATGTGTTGAAAGGGTTAGAAGATTTATCCTTTAGGCAGAGATAGTAATACTTCCTCTTTATATGGGGGGCTGGAACAGATGACTATCCTTTTCTAGCTATGTCACAGGATGCAGAAAGTAGACTGAGGTAAAAATGCGTGTTCAGAATTCTAGAAACCCCCATTCTGAACCTGAACCTTTTTAAGAGAACGACATTCTTGTAAAATAACCTAAGAACAGCAATTTTAACAGTCTGGACTCTCAGTTGCTCGTCTTGGAAAAAGTTGCTCACACATTCATCTCCCTTTCAATTTGTTCTGGCAATGAAGCTGGTAGTATTGGCCATTTGTAACACACCAGCTATTTATAAAATTAAGG